TTCTGAAAACCTTAAAATACCAGAGCATAAAGAATTCCTTATTCTTTTTCGTAGCTGTTGTCTACTGCATGAATGTATAAATGTATGTACCCATTCACTTAACTACTTATTTTTATAATTTATTGTAACCAAAAAAATCAACGGAGAAACAAACTTGGATTGAGCAATGTTTCTGACTATACCATAAAATACACAAGAAGCCATGAAAGAAAAGATTGAAATAAAAAATAACTTTTCTACACAGCAGAATTCATAATATGAATATTAGTTTTAAAATAATGTCTTCAGTGAATGATATTTTAATAGAAACTGACTTTTTTATGAAACAAATACCAAGCCTGATTTCAGATTTTATAGATTTTCAGGTTATGATTGACCACACATATTTGATCATTAACGTCTATGCTTCATTAGGAAAAGGAAGATGAGAGGGTCTATTTAGTTTGCATGTTTGCTTCCTTTCTTCTTTCCTCCCTTCCTCCCTCCCTGGATTGCTAAGCACTTTTCAGTGTAATTATGATTTGAAAGTGGAAATAGAAAAGGAAAGAGCATGAATAAAAGTCATTGGACAATCAGTCAGATCTTTTGCCACTCCCTGCTAGCTCTGCAATTTTGTGAATATCATTATGAGGTTTCATTAAGGAGAGGAACTAGCTTATATTTGATTTTTCCCCACCACAGTGAGGCTTCCTAGGTGGCTCAGTGGTAAAGAATCCACTTGCCAATGTAGGAGCTGCAGAAGATGTGGGTTCTATCCCTTGTTTGGGAAGATTCCCTGGAGAAGGAAATGGCAACCCACTCCAGTATTCTTGCCTGGGAAATCCCATGAACAGAGGAGCCTGCCCATCTACAGTCCATAGGATTGCAAAGAGTTGGACATGACTGAAGCGATTGAGCGTGTGCCTCTAGTGAATAGCTCAGTTCAGTTCGGTTCAGTTGCTCAGTTGTGTCTGACTCTTTGTGACCCCATGGACTGCAACACACCAAGCTTCCCTGTCTATCACCAACTCCTGAAGCTTGCTCAAACTCATGTCCATCTAGTCAGTGATGCTGTCCAACCATCTCATCCTCTGTCATCCCCTTCTCCTCCTGCCTTCAGTCTTTCCCAGCATCAGGATCTTTTCCAAAGAGTCAGTTCTTTGCATCAGGTGGCCAAAGTGTTGGAGTTTCAACTTCAACATCGGTCCTTCCAGTGAATATTCAGGACTGATTTCCTTTAGGATTGACTGGTTGGATCTCCTTGCAGTTTAAGGGACTTTCAAGAGACTCTCCAATATCACAGTTCAAAAGCGTCAATTCTTCAGTGCTAAGCTTTCTTTATAGTCCAACTCTCACATCCATACATGACTACTGGAAAAACCATAGCCTTGACTAAACGGACCTTTGCTGGCAAAGTAATGTCTCTGCTTTTTAATATGCTGTCTAGGTTGGTCATAACTTTCCTTCCAAGGAGTAAGCGTCTTTTAATTTCATGGCTGCAATCACCATCTGCAGTGATTTTGGAGCCCCAAAAAATAAAGTCTGACACTGTTTCCACTGTTTCCCCATCTATTTCCCATGAAGTGATGGGACCAGATGCCATGATCTTAGTTTTCTGAATGTTGAGCTTTAAGCCAACTTTTTCACTCTCCTCTTTCACTTTCATCAAGAAGCTCTTTAGCTCTTCTTCACTTTCTGCCATAAGGGTGGTGTTATTTGCATATCTCAGGTTATTGGTACCTAATACAAAAATGTTTGCTAATCTCTTTAGAACTCAAATTGCTGCTGCTGTTGTTGTTTAGTCTCTATGTCCAACTCTTTTGCAACCCCATAGACTGTAGCCCACCAGGCTCCTCTCTCCATGGGATTTCCCAGGCAGAAATACTGGAATGGGTTGCCATTTCCTTCTCCAGGGATCTTCCTGAACCAGGGATTGAACCCACATCTCCTGCATTGGGAGATGGGTTCTTTACCACTGATCCGCCAGGGAAGCCCATTGAAGAACTCAAATTTCTCACTTGTAAATTATGGATTATATTTATGAGAATAAATATGGAGTAATATGTGTGAGAGGATTTTGTTAACCATAGATAATTTATACGTACCTAAGCAGTTATCTTTTTGAAAGAGGACTGAGCTTGCAGGAAAATATTAATATTGATATAATAAAAGCCTTATAACTCAGTTCTAGGCCTGGGGATGAAGGAGGCGTGGACTTTACCACTTTACTGTGACATTCCAGAGTGCAGTTTTCTGGTTTTGGAACTTTGGAAAGTGTAGAATCATTTGTGAATGTGAGCTGCAGCTTTAGTGCAGAACAGACCCTGTTGACATAGATGACTTCTCGAGCTCAAGGTGTTCTTGCTTTTATCTTTTCCCATTAATGCAGCACCCATTCACTGAAGTATGCAAGATATTGTACTAGGTGCTGTAGCCCATATTACTGTATCAGCTCTTTTTTAATCCAATTTGCTACTCTTTTTTTAATTTTTTATTGATTGAATTTCTGTGATAACTCTAGTGAAGGACAACCTTGAAGAATATTTGAAATACATGCATGACTAATTCTTTTTTTTTTTTACTTTTAGACCATTTTTATTATCACAAAAGAAACTGCATGCCCATTAGCAGTCAGCTCCCACTTTCACCTCTCAACAGCCGCTTGCTGTTGTTGCTCTTGTTCAGTTGGTCAGTTGTGTCTGATTCTTTGCGACCCCATGAACTACAGCACGCCAGGCTTCTCTCCCTCTTTCACTATCTCCCTGAGTTTGCTCAAACTCATGTCCATTGAGACAGTGATGCCATCCAACCATCTCATCCTCTGTCACCCCCTTTTCCTCTTGCCCTCAATTTTTTCTAGCATCAAAATCATTTCCAATGAGTTGGCTCTTCAAATCAGGTGGCAGAGTCTTGGAGCTTCAGCATCAGTCCTTCCAGCAAATATTCAGGGTTGATTTCCTTTAAGATTGACTAGTTTCATTTCCCTGCTGCCCAAGGGAGTCTTCACCAGCACCACAGTTTGAAAGCATCAATTCTTATGGGCATTTCATATAAATGGAATCATATAATATGTAGCCATTTGTGTCTCGTTTCTTTCATTGCATATGATTTTTAAGTTTCATCCATGTCATGGTATGACATGGTAAAATTAATTTTAATAACTTTTAAACTAGTCTCATGTACCCAGACTATGGTTATTTCATTTTATGTATCATCAATATAAAACTTTATTAATGAGATATTTTATATTCTTATATGAAGACTTTTTTTGTGGTGTAGATTTTCTTTAGAGTACATCTCAGTTCAGTATAGTCACCTTTTAAATGTTCAACAGCCACATGTAGTTGGAGGTTACTGTATTGGATGGCACAAGTATTAGATAGGACTCCTGGTTTTAGTTCAGAGCTCTTTTCACTGCATTGTACTTAAAATGTACACATTTTTATGAAGATGTGGAAGCAAATTTTTAGAGAAATTATACTGGAATTTAAAATGAGTTTCACCTAAGCTGCTCCATTCATACCTAATTTTATTTTTTTAAATTAATTAATTTTTTAAAATTTATTTTAATTGGAGGCTAATTACTTTACAATATTGTAGTGGTTTTTGCCATACATTGACATGAATCAGCCATGGGTTTACATGTGTTCCCCATCCTGAACCCCCCTCCCACCTCCCTCCCCATCCCATCCCTCTGAGTCATCCCAGTGCACCAGCCCTGAGCACCCTGTCTCATGCGTTGAACCTGGCCTGGTGATCTGTTTCATATATGATAATATACATATTTCAATGCTATTCTGTCAGATCATCACACCCTTGCCTTCTTCCACAGAGTCCAAAAGACTGTTCTATACATCTGTGTCTCTTTTGCTGTCTCACATATATAGGGTTATCATTACCATCTTTCTAAATTCCATATATAACACATGACTAATTCTGACCATGTCTTATTTTGATTTAGAAGAAGGCTGACCTTCTGCTTCAGTTAACAGAATGTCACATTTAAGGCTAATAAGATTCTAAAACAGAAGCTTTACTTGGGTGCTTTTTTAAAAATTCTTTGACAGCTAAGATTAGCTGGCTTTCTATTAAATTTTCAAAACATAATTTTTAGAGTTCTGGAAACACATGTTACTCACAGAAGAGGATATTGAATCAAAGAATTATTTAATCATTTACCTTTTCATTCATTCTCATGACTTTATGCTCTTTCAAGCTTGATATTGAGACCCATACAGCTATTCCATGTCTTTGCCCAACAGGAATAAATAAAAATTGATATGTTAGAGGGAAGGTATATAGAGGCTAAGATTATTAGGATGATGATTTTTTTATTTATACATTTGTATTTGCAAATTTAAAATACTGTATGTTTTCCCTCAAATGTTAGTTACTAAAGGGAAAAAATGACCAATTAAAATGGCAAGACCACAGATAAATTATAGATCAAAATTTTAATAAGCATGATAATAATCAGATTAATTCTCAACTTCTCTACTAGTTTTTAACATATTATTTTAAATTTTTTGTCTTTATCTAATGAAGATTATTATTACTTGTAGCATTTACACTTCCAACAGTATAATGGTGGATGTTGGCTTCCAAATTTTCAAGTTGCCCAAATTTGGAACTTACTTTCTAGGATTTATTGACTCTTCCTTTTTAAAAAGGAACTACCCCTTTCCTTCAGTTTAGCACTGCAGGTAGAGTCCCTATAGTGGATGAATCTGCCTTGTTCTTATCAGTAATAGCCCTCGGAATAGTAACTCTTAAGGCAGTAGTCCCCAACCTTTTTGGAACCAGGGACCGATTTCGTGGAAAACATTTTTTCCACAACCAGGGCAGTGGGAGGTTGGGGGGGGGCAGTTCAGGATGATTCAAGCCCATTTAATTTATTGTGCACTTTATTTCTAATCTAATGCTGCCGCTGATCTGACAGGAGGTACTGGTCTATGGCCCCAGAGATTGGGGGCCCTTGAATTAAGGCTTAAATTTTTAAAAAACATAATCTTTTCTTTCAGACCTCTTAAGCCATGAAAATGCAGCAACACTGAATGATGTAAAGACACTGGTCCAGCAGCTATACACAACGCTGTGCATCGAGCAGCACCAGTTAAACAAGGAAAGGGAGCTTATTGAAAGATTAGAAGATCTCAAAGAACAGCTGGCGCCCCTGGAAAAGGTGCAGATTCAAATTTCACACTTTCCTCTTCACTAGTATTTTTTCCAGAGCATATATGTTTGCTTTTTTCCCCCTCCAAGTTGTATGTGATTGAATTATGTTAATCTGATGAGTTTGGGGAACTGAATCATAAAAATCTTCCAATTAAAGCTATGAAAGAATTTTAAAAGAAATAGTTTGGGCCTTGATAATGGACATACAGCTTTGAGGCCTGAATATATTCTCATTAATCAGATATACTACCTTTATGACAAAGATTGGAATAATTGCTGATCAAGAAGGGTTCTAAGTGAGGTGGATAATCATTTTAGCCAATTTAAGAATTAAAATTATATGGAATATCATGCAACTGTTAAAAAAACTATTCAGTAGATCTAATATGCTATAGAAAACTCATATTTTATGAAAAGTAAATTATAAGATAATGTACACATTAGTGCGTTTTGTTATTGTTTAGTCACTAAGTCGTCCAACTCTTTCGTGATCCCAAGGACTATAGCCCACCAGGCTCTCTGTCCATGGGATTTCCCAGACAAGAATGCTGGAGTGGGCTGCCATTTCCTTCTCCAGGGAATCTTCCCAACCCAGGGATCGACCCTGCATCTCCTGTATTGGCAGACAGATTCTTTACCACTGAGCCACCAGGGAAGCCCATGGTAGTACATACTATGATTCCATTTTTAATTGAAATATATATTACACATATAGCCATACACACACACAGGCATACACACACACACACCCAAAGAAGGAAATAGAAGGGACATATTCCCAAATGCTAATAGAATAATAGGATTATGAATAATTTTTTTTTCTCTATACTTTGCTGAATGTTTTACACTGAAGATGTGTCATCCTTATTTTTTAATAATAATACAAGTATTTCTACTTTAAGAAACTAGACTATATTAGAGATTAAGGAAGAGAATAAATATTCTTAATATTGTGCTTTTTTTAAATTTCCTTAAAAGTAATGAACATATATCTCAAGGTTGTTCTCATTAATTTAAGACCTTTAGAAATGTTTGAGGAACTATTGTAAAGGGAGATGAAATTTAAACTTTGTATTTTCAAAATGTAAAGCATTTTTTAATGTATCAGCTATAACAAAATAATTATCATCCTTTACTGAATATTTACTTTGTGCTAGAAATTGTCCTACATATTTTACCTGTATTCTCTTATTTAACAGAACAACTCATTAATGAAGTGATGGTAATTCTCAGATCAGGGCCTGAACTCAGCTGTTCTGAATCCAGAGTCCATGCTCTGACTCACTGTGCTGTTTTGCCCCAGTAGACCTCTTGAGTAAAAAATTAATGATGGATTAAATCTTAAATGCTACAGTGAGAGAACATTAGCCTATTTTTATTTCCCTCTTTCAAAGAAAATCTTGTGGTTGGATAAAGACCTATTGAAACTAACTTATTTCACCATATTTTCAGCTACTAGTGTACTGAAAAAATGTTAGTCCTATAAAATATTATTCAGTGAAAACTGCAGATACTATTTAGGAAGACAAACTATATTTTCTAGAATTGAGACTAACTTGTATTTTGATTGCAAACCCTGTTCTTAAGTGAACATAGAACAGTTTAAATAAGAGTTTAAAATTGGTTCTATGTCAAAATGCTTTAGAGTTGACCGATCATGTGCGACCTATAGGTACGAATTGAAATCAGCAGAAAAGCTGAGAAGAGGACCACTTTGGTGCTATGGGGTGGACTTGCCTACATGGCCACACAGTTTGGCATTTTGGCCCGGCTTACCTGGTGGGAATATTCTTGGGACATCATGGAGCCAGTCACCTACTTCATCACTTATGGAAGTGCCATGGCAATGTATGCATATTTTGTAATGACACGCCAGGTAAGAATTCCTCTTCAAGTAACTTTTCGTGACATAGTGAAATTTCGGTTGTCAAAGTAGTTCTCTTTTCTCTCATATTCTTTATAAGGCTAGTTCCCTTTAAGTAAATCACTTATCCTTTATACACAGTCACTCACATATACACATATACACGCACGTGCTCATGCATGCCAATTTTGTATCATGCACTAGTCTAGGTGCTAGAGATAGAGATATGTAAGACATGGCTTGGCTTTGGCCCCCATGGAGAAAGCAGACTATTAAGAGAACCATATAAACTGCTAAATTCATAACAATATTATGGTAAGATAGAGAATAAGAAGGCAAAGGAGAAGAGAGATCAGCTGTAGGATAACTTATTCAGCTCAATTGGCTTCGCTTTTTATGTACTGTGTAATTAATGTAGCAGTCAGATGGGGTAGTTTTTTGTTTTTATCAAATATTTGGAATGGAGAATTGGTGAAAATTAATCAAATAAACTAAACTCTTGGTTACTTCTGAATATATCAGTAGTATAGGTATTTGTTATTGTTATTTTAACGTTAAGGAAGAGAAGTGAAAATTAGAGATCTAATCATTATTCTTTTCTTTAACAGCCAAGACTCATATATTAAATATCAGTATCTAGAACTAATTGTTATTGTTAGTGCTATTTTTTTAGTAACTTGGAAATCCATGGGAAGTATGAGGGATTTATTACTGCTTTATGTGATGCAACCACAGATCCAGGCTCCCTTGAATAAAAAAAAAAAATCATTTGAAATAGTTGAGACAGATGAGAAACTTTTTCTGTTTTCCTAAGTGGCAAAATAATTCTGAGAGTTGCTTCTTATGTTTTTACATGTCCTCTGTTGAATGAACATAGATATTTTGTTTCTGTTGTCATTAGACCAATGGTCATAGGCCTGTTTTTGTGAGGGAAAATGAAAGCTCAAGGGTGTTATTTAACCTTTCTGGGCCCCCCAAATTTGTCTAGTGGGCAGAAGAGAGAAAGCACATTGCTCACGTCCTGCTATGGTTTGCCCAGCATCTCTAGCACTTAACTCAATGTTTAGCTCTGTTTATCACTCTGTATGAACAGAGCTGGCAACCAGATCAGTCTTACCTAGTCACACCTCTGGGCATGGCTTGCATATGTCTATATGTCTGTCTGCATGTCTTTCCCCCTTTGTTGGCCCTGTCTCTCCCTCATACATCTCTTTGTTGTTGTTTAGTTTCCAAGTCGTGTCTGACTGTTTGTGACCCCCTGCACCATAGCCCGCCAGGGTCCTTTGTCCATGGGATTTCCCAGGCAAGAAAAATGGAGTGGGTTGCCATTTCCTTCTCCAGAGGATTTTCCCAACCCAGGGATTGAACCCAGGTCTCCTGCATTGGCAGGTGGATTTTTGACCACTGAGATACCTCTTTAATGGGTTCTTTTTATCTGTTGAAATCTAGACTCCTTAGCTGATGTTCATAACTGGTTGCTGTCCTTTCCAAATGCCTCTGAACTCATCTGTGTATGTACTAGGTATTTTAAACACAGTAAATTACAGTTGTCCCTTGAACCTCAGGGTTTAGGGACTTCAACCCTCTGTGAAGTAAAAAAAAAAAAATCCACATATAACTTACAGTCATCCCTCCAAATCCATGATTCCTCTGTATCCATAGTTTCTCCATACCCATGGTTCCACATCTGGGGATTCACCTGACTGTGGATCATGTAGTGCTATAGTATTTACCATTGAAAAAAACCCACATATAAGTGGACCTGTTCAGTTCAAACCCATGTTGTTCAAGGTCAACTATATAGTCTTTCAATGTGTTAGTTGCTCAGTCGTGTTGGACTCTTTGTGACACTCCAAGGACTGTGGCCCTCTAGACTATCAAGATTGCCGGGAGAAATATCAATAACCTCAGATATGCAGATGGCACCACCCTTATGGCAGAAAGTGAAGAACTCAAGAGCCTCTTGATGGAAGTGAAAGAGGAGAGTGAAAAAGTTGGCTTAAAGATCAACATTCAGAAAACTAAGATCATGGCATCTGGTCCCATCACTTCATGGCAAATAGATGGGGAAACAGTGGAGGGAGGCCTGGCGTCCTGCGGTCCATGGGGGTCACAAAAAGTTGGACACGACTGAGCAACTGAACTGAACTGAACTGAGACTATCCTACTGTATGGTCTCTGTTTCCCCAAAATGCCCTGAGTTTTCCACCACTTCCTTCCTTCATATCATTCTATTAACTGGAAAGGTTTTCCTTGTTGATCTCTATCTGTCATCAAGATTTACTTGTGAAAGTGTGAAAGTGTTAGTCACTCAGTCGTGTCTCTTTGTTACGCTGTGGACTGTAGTCCAGGCTTCCCTGTCCAGGGGATTCTCCAGGCAGGAACACTGAAGTGGATTGCTGTGCCCTTCTCCAAGGGCTTTTCCTGACCCAGGGACCAAACCCGGGTCTCACGCATTGCAGGCAAATTCTTATACCATCTGAGGTTTACTTAAATGCTTATTTTTCATTAATATTTGACTACTTCCCTGCAGCCCATTCTGATCTCTCCTTCCTCTGAATTCCTTTGGCACATGGTGCCTCTCATTTCATTCATCCTATGCCATCTTGTATTATAATTATTCCTGTTCAGTGTCTTGTCCCCTCTACTAGACTGATAGTTTTTGAAGCAAGGCGTCCAATTTTTATTTCCATACCGTGCCTAATACAGTGCCTATCTGTCTTTTTAAATGCTGAACTGCTGATTCCTCAACATTTTTGCTGCCCCCAAGTGACTGGTTGCAAAATAGCAGTAGTAAACCATTTAGTCTTGTGAATAGGAAAACATTGACCAAATTGAATGTAAAATATCCTTCCCCATATCAGTTCCATAAATTAACACCCATGAAGCAAAAGCCTATTCAGTAGCATTTAAACTATTGAATAAGCATTTATTAGCAACCTAAATAGATTCCAAAGTGTATTAAGTTCCAAAGAATTTTTATAAGATGACAAGTTCCTTGAGATCATAAAATCAAGTAGAATATTGAATTTTACTAATATTTCAGTGAGACCTGAGTACCACTTTCTATCATATGAAGAAGGAGCCAGACAATAAGAAGTTGCCATTTGAAAAAGTTACTTCAGCAGGCATGTGAACCACTATTCAATACCCTAGCCCAAGTGTTTTCAACAAAGGGGATGTCACCTTCAAGGAGGCAAAAATTGGTTCTTGAGGAGTAAAACATCTTGGAAATTACAACAGATAAATGGATACCACAATATATCTGTGGTATTAAAACCTCTTCGGGGAGAAGAGGCAGCTAAGGGGAAAATATCTAAAAAGGCAACTTAAGGTAATGATGAAAAAAGATTAAGAAACACTGACCTAGCCTTTGATACCCTTTGTCATCTCAGTTCCAACATTCATGCTTTATGTTCTGTTATTCCAACAAACTACTTCAGTGACTGTTCAGGACCCCCTTATAATAAAAATTAGTACACCTAAACCTTTAGGTTCCTGGCATCTCTCTTGTTTCTGTCACCTCCTCGTGTGTTGCTCCCTTTCGGCCCCAGTTAGACCGTACTGCCATCTGTTCAGTCTCCGCTCCCTTGTCTCTCCATTACATGTGCTCTGTAAACTCCTAATCTGGGGTGATTCTAGCCATTTACCCTACATCCAGGCTACTGAGCATTGCTAGAGAAAAATCACCTAATAGTATGGAATGGGCAACTGCTTGTGTTTCTCATTAGATTTTCTTCCCCCATAGAAAATTATTAGTTACTTCAAGATTTCACATCAAACTCCTCATCCCACCTTTAACTTTGCCTTCTACTTATCCTAGAAAATTGAGCTTAACAGGTAGAAGCTTTCTAATTCCTAAACTCTGTGAGTTTAATAGTATCCTTACTGAGTCTTTCATACTATTTCCTTAAATTCAAATAAGAGGTGGCATTTTCCTAATCAGGGCTAGCTCTTCTGCCTCTTCTTAATCTTATTACCTCCTTCCAGAATCTTACCCCAGTATATATTTTTTGTGTGTTCTCTATGTTATCAAACTCTCCCTCTCTGACTCTCTTTCCTTTATAATAAAGCTCTCCATGTCTTTCTTCTCAGTTATTATCAAATCACCAAGTTTCTAGAATAGAGTCTAGCCTGCAGTTGTTTAGTAAATGTTTATTGCCCAAGAGCGGATACATTGACTAGATCTGAATAAATTGAATTAGTATATACATTTATATCCTTACCACAGATAAGTAAGTAGCCTAGTCACAACAACTTAGGTGAAAGTAGAGGGCTTTCTCTCAAGCTTTTAATCCAGCATTTGTCCCTTAGGTCAGTATTATTTGATCCAGATCATGATTCTGTCTTTTTAACAAGCTTCCACAAACCCCTCAACTACTGTTCATTTGTCATCTGCCATCCTCAGTAATTAAACATTTACTTCTGTCTCCAGTTGTGGCATACTAGGTAATCAGAACAATGCTCTCATTAGGAAATGTTAAAATAGTTAAAACATAAAACACATCTGCCTGTAGATTCTAGAGAACACACAGGATAACAAAAATTACCAGGCAAGGACCAGAAGAAAAGTCTGAAGGGGGAGGAGCCAAGATGGCGGAGGAATAGGACGGAGAGACCACTTTCTCTCCTACAAATTCATCGAAAGAACATTTGAACGCTGAGCAAATTTCACAAAACAACTTCTGATCGCTAGCAGAGGACATAAGGCGCCCAGAAAAGCAGCCCATTGTCTTCAAAGGGAGGTAGGACAAAATATAAAAGATAAAAAGGGAGACAAAAGAGCTACGGACGGTGACCC